CCCCTTCTTTTACACCTCTTGACCTTTGACCCCAGCTTCGACATCCCAACTCGTTTTCGGATTACCCCCCCACGTCCTGAATATCGTGACCGTACGTCGAGCCGTTTAGATTTGTGCCCAACTGTTGACGAACGCACGCACGGCCGGACGGACGCACGGACGCACGCTCATGCGATTCTACAAGCTGCATCTGACTATGTCAGATGAGCTAATAAATACGAAATCTATTTACTACCAAAGTCTCAATGTTTCTCTACTCTCTTTCACCTATTATTGCCGACAATTTCCTGTAAATGCCGTCCAAATGCTCATCTGACTATGTCCCCTATCGACTTCCCTCCCCCCCCTCCCCGTTAATATGACATCATGTGGTGGAGGGGATTGGATGAGGAAGCGCCCGGCGGCCCGACGCTGCCTACCTGAGGAGATTGTTGCCGGGCGGCGCGGACTGCGGTGCGAGGGCGCTACCGTCCGCCGCCGTCGCCCACGCGACGCCGCACGTCAGCCGACCCGTCGTGAAGAGCGTCTCTCCTCCGTCGTCTGCTCCCGCGTCGCCGGCGGCAACGTCGACGGGCGCGCCCGCTCCGACGCCCTCGTGGTCGCACGCGACACGCTCGACGCTGCTGAACTGATGCTGATCGAGGCGCCAGCTGGTGGCGTTCGTCTGCGTCGGCGTGGGGATCGGCAGGTGGACGTCGGCGAGAAGCGCGGCGGCGAGCGTGCGCGACTCGTACACCTGCAGGGGGCGACAAGTCAAATAATCTCAATTAATCGGAGGTTCGGATTTCGATGGGCAGTGGCGTCGGTTACGTCGATCGTCGATCGGAGAATCGCGCCGCGATGGAATACGGTGATTCCTTTACGATTATCCACCGATTCCTCTCTCTGTCTCTCTCCCACTCTCTCTCTCTTCCCCCTCTTTCTCTCCTCTCCCCTCTCTCTCTCTATAAGCTAGTCAAACTTTCTAAATTTTTCTCATCGTTAAGCAGCACTTTCAAACAATAAATCGAACTTGACTACCGTATATACTCGCGTAATAACCGCAAATTTGGCCTCAGGTTTCAACCCTGTATTTGCTCTGCGGTGTTAAGTTGCTCTGTAAGTGCACCATACCGTGAGGTGAAATATACTAGGCGCAATACTTATTGAGGTGCGGCTTATAGGCGCCTGCGGTTATTACGTGATCATATACGGTAATCATCTCGGCGAGCAAAATCAGCAGCGACACTCAATCTCGATCTCTGTCTCAATCTCATCTCTCCATCTATACCGCGTGGGTATATCGATGATCGATCGGTCGGAGCGCACGGACATACCTGCAGACGCACGCTCTCTGGCCAGCGGATGATCTGTACGGGGAACACGCTGCCAAACTGCACGGTGGCGGCGTCTAGCAGGGGCTTCTTCAGTGTCTTGCCCACCTCGCGGCCGTTGAAGAGCACCTTGACGAACAGCTTGCACCTGCAGCAGCAGAGCGTTGTTAGCGAGGATCAAGAAAGCGAGAGTCTCGAACGACTGAGACATTTGTGTTATGAGCAGAGCGCGAGCCATGAATGCGCTTGTCTGCTTGGGGAGGGGGTACCATTTATTTGCATATTCATTACTATAAGTACACGGCCATCGTCAGCTGTCAGCAGTAGAATTGGGTAGCTAGTGTGAAGATAGGCCGTATCTTATTTATAAACACTTGCTAACTCTAAAATGGTCTTTTTCCTGTTAACAATACAAATTCAATATCAATTTATTTTATACAACTCTTCTACAATTGGCCACAAGATACTCAATATATAGTCTAGTGTGAGCTATGATTCTATAGTGACAGCTCTATAATATATTGATTGAAATTCACGGCATATTTTCTCTATTCCTCTTCCTCTCCCTCCTCCTCTCCCTCCCCCCTCTCTCTCTGTTTCT